GGTTATTAGGATTTTATAAGAAGAACCAAATTAAAAGGGTATGTTGTTAATATTTGTTTCTCTAATTTAAAATAGTCCATTTCCTTAAACATGGGTAATACGCAAATTTGTTAGTGAGTAGTCCCTTCGGGGATATCCGATAAAAAAAATTTATTAGTGAGTAGTAATTTATAAAAGGATTCTTCGAACCCGTAAAGCCCACGTTAATCTCGTTGAGTTCCTTGATAATCAACTAACTAAAACTTATTTTTCATTAAAAAAATAGTCAATGTACTGTCATACTTTTCTTAAGGCCAAGAAATGACCTGACATTCAATTGAAATTTGAAACAGGCTCTACACAACAATACTTTTTTCTTGCCGGAGCTCTATATTTCTTCAAAGTGGGCCAAGAAATAAATTTCGACTGGGAGGTGAAGGAGATCCCTTTATCTTTGTGAGGGACGCGACACTCGAAGCCTTGATATCTTGCTCGCACCGCAAACGATAAATTTTATTTATTTATGCTTATTAAAAAATTAGTTAAAATCAGTTTAAAACAATAAATATGTAAAGTATGTTTTTTTTTAAAAAATATGTCCTTATTAATGAAGAGAATAAGTAAAAGATATAATAAATAAATCAAACAGGAAAGAGAATATATGTTATGGGTAAAATTAAAAAAAAATGCATTATGTTTAGACAAAAATGAATGTTATCTTATTTAAAAAAAATAAAGTCCCTTTAACACAATTTATCTTATATTTTGAACCGGAGTGAGTACTAATTTGCATCCAACTTTGTGCTCCATGGGAAGAATAGTGGCAAGAAAAAAAAAAGAGCTGACCCTGAAAGTTGAAGCACCAATTATGTTACTAAGAAATGTTGATCAGGCCTAAGGTTTAGGCAATGAAACTCGTTTTCACATGACAAAGTTTGGGAAGACTGTCATTAAGGTTATTACATTAAATGGATGTAAGCTGAATTAAGGAGTGTTAATTCATAGAATAGATATGAATCCATTTGAAAGCCGGTGGATCTTTCATATGAAGAGGAGGCAGTTTATAGTAACAAAGTCTTTTGCAATGACGATCAACAAGAGTCAAGGAGAATTATTGCGGCATGTTGGTTTATTCTTGACAAGGCTTGTCTTTGCGCATAATCAACTTTATGTTGCACTGCCAAGGGTTAAAAAGCATGGTCTTAAAATAGTTCTCAATCAAAGCAATGGCAGGAACAGCAAGACAACGAATCTTGTCTACGAGGAGATCTTTCAGAATGTTTAAATTTAACACGGATTGTGTTAAAAGTTTTGATAATTGTGTTACAATCATGTGTTTTATATGAATTTGTTCAGTTTAAAAGTTACATATATGATTTTTGCAAGACTAATGTAGCAGTTAAATTGAGCAAGAATAGCTTTGTCTATGGTTGGTGCTTCGTGTATCGTGCAGGGATGGTGGTAGTTAAGAGAAATCAGAGAATCGAGAAGTTCATAAGACACTACTTCTGTTATCTTGAATTGGCTCTGTGAAGGGTAATGCAGAGAAGGAGTAAAGATTGAAAACATCTTTGATTGTGACAAAGGGAGAATTACATTTACCATCATATAAAGCCAAATTTCTCTTCATATAATGTTGAGAAGGCAAATAATTCCACATACTAATGAAGAGTGACCATCTCTGTGAAGACGAATAAGAGTATCTTTTAACCAACCCTTAAATTCTGAAAAAATCATTGAGGGATTCTCATTGAGAAGCACCCAAACCAGAGAGATCTGCTGAGTGGACAAGAAATAAATAGATGATCCAAAGTCTCTTCTGCTGCACATCCAAAAGGACAAGATCTAGAAGTATTCAAGTGGTGATTATTTAGAACATCACATTAAGATTAGTGCACTATGTAAGAGCTTCCAAACAAATAGTTGTTGTTTAAACGGGGGAGAAAGCTTCCAAAAAAGTTCTAGAAATCATTAGTTCTATTACCATCAAGAGAGAGGAGATAATAGTACCTATCATTGACCTTGCAAGAGCCCGAGGAATTGCCATTTTAATATACTACTTCCGGTCTTTAATATAAGACATCGTTTGACTTTTATTTCGGTCTTAAATATAAGACACCAATCCACTTTGTTTATCATTTTTATCTATTTTTTCCATAGTAGTTCTAACCAATATACTTAATTAGCAAGGATATTTTAGGAAAGATAACACCTACTTATTACAAATAACTAACTTATTAACTAGTTTTCTTAGTCTACTCAAATTAATCAACTAACTTTTCTATTTAAGACAAGAGGTAGTAATTGATTAGAGGAATTTAAAATGGAAAGTGGAGTTGTGGGGTTTACATTAGCATTTTTTTTAGACTATAAGGTGCAAACTAGCGAAGAATTTAGCGAATTAGTTAAAATGATTTATATCATGATGAGTCACTTGTGCAACAATCAATGCGAGCCAGAAAATTAGAACGTTGCACCTGCTTCCAAAATTCATTGGTTAACTAGAACCTTCCACCAACTTCTTTTGTTCTCTAAAACTCGGCCTTCCACGTGTCTTGCTTTCACATCCACGTGAACAACGTGCGTAATTAATTTATTAATATAGTATGAAACTGAAATGCTAACATTTATTAACATTTGCTAGCTAGTTCAGATATAAAGAGAAGTGACAACTTTCTTGATATTGGGGGAAAAAAGTCCGTTGTTCGTTTTTGGGAGGATGGACAACTTTAAGCTCTCTGAGTTGACAAGACTATGCAAGGAATGCATGGTGAATATGGTGGTCAACTCGGGGTAAGTGTGTAGTGATAACAACTTTAGTTATCAGAAAATGGAATTGCAACCAAGAATTGGTTTATTAACTATGCTTATCAGATTTTTCATGTAAAATATAGTCAAGAATTGTATGCAAAAAGATTATTTTAGGTCTAAATCTACTTAATATTCATCTACATCTACGATGTTTTGTATTTCATTACATTTTGCCAAAATGCATGATCATAGTTCCTTGAAATTCTTCAACCCAAATTGAGCGAGAATATTGATGGTCATGTGGCAGTTCAAGAAAAATGCCGAGACAACACATACAATCTTATTCTCAGATTGGTATCAGACACGAGCCCCTTAGTCTCTACTAACTTTGGGTGCCACCTAGTTGAACCTACTTTACACCCCAGTCTCGAGACATATCTTGCCCTTTCTTTTAAAGAGTTTCATTCTTGCATTGTTTTTTTTTTTTTTTATGAAAGTGATATTCAAACTTGTGCAAGGTCTGATACCAAACCTTAAGAATGAAACGCTAAGCATCATACCAAAAGCTTGAGTTAAAAGTCCACACTCCAAGACTCAATACGTATTATTCCCTTCCTTTTAAAGGAGGTTCGTCCTCAAACCTATTTTTTGACGGAAGTGAAATTTGAAATCACGTAAGGTCTGATACCAAACATTAGGAATGAAATACTAATCATCATACCAAAAGTTTAAACCGATAGTAGAAAGCACCCCAATTTCTTTAATCCAAATCAGATGCAATCCCTAATCTCTACCAACTTTGGATGCCACCTAGTTGAAGTCGATCTACACCCCAAACTTGAGATGTATTATTTGCCAAAGAAGATAAAAAAGTTGAGTAATTTGAAAAGTTTATCTCTCTCTTTTTATAATGATGATTCCAATACTGCATAAATCCTTGTTGTTGTTCCATCCCAACTCACTTGTTTAAAAGTTTGCAACGACAAAAAGAGTTGTTTTTATTTTTATTTTTTAATTTATCCTATTAAGACTATAAAAATATTGTATTAAGATTAAAATGAGAGGATGCTTTGTCAATATTTAATTACACAGCTATCATTTAAATTTGATAAGTTAACTTTTTTTCGTTAAGTTAGACTAATGGTGTTAAGATTGAAAGACTAAAAATGTATTTTATAAACCTAAAAGATTAAAATAAAAATTGATATAAACATAAAGGATTGAATGCATATTTTAGCCTATTATTATTAATATTGTTGTCCTATTTTATTATTATTAAAAAAATCCTATTAGATATAAATCTACTTTCAATATGGCTAAAAGAAGCTTGTGATATTTTAAGATTTACTCAGATTTTTTTATTATTTTCTTGGTATTTTATTATCATTTTATTATTTTTAAATAGACATATAAATTATGTGCGTGATTTTTTGTTTTCTTCTGTTACAGATACATACACAATATTGTGATTTTTTTTAAATGTTAACTAACTTTTAAAATTCTCAATTTTATTTATTTATTTATTTTATATAAAATCAAATAGATAATTTAATTTCTCCCTTATGCAATCTATTATCCTATTCTTTTTAGACATATTACTTAATCCTATGTCTTTCTTAAGGGCACTATTTTCACTTTAAGTCTTTAATAAGAATTGGGATAGTCAACTTATAATAATTAAATTTTAAAGCTTAATGAAATGTTATTAATAAAAATTAATTACAAGACAAATCAAAAATTTAAAAACGCACTTGTTAATTTGATTAAAACAAGGGCATTGATTAAGACATAAACTACTATTTTTTTTTTTTTTTTTTTGCATAGTCTTAGTTTTCCTTGAGCTGGAACCTTTTGACGAGTAAATGAAGATGTTTCGAGAGTCTTTTTTTGAGGGAAAAAAAGAAGCAGAATAGAACTATTATCAAGGAAACAAATTGAATACCCACAAAAACATATCCACACTTAAGTTTGTAGAAGGGAAAGCACATGATGCCTTTTTCTCCTTTCCTTTTGTGTTTTTTGGGCCAAAAACAATTAAATTTTCTTTTGTTAGATCAATTCTTCAAATTTTGCCAGTAACCTGTAAGATAAAAAAGTTTTTAAAGTTTTGAAAAATTCACTTGTAAATTGTGAAAAAGGCCTGTGAAAAATACATAGGATGAATTCTGAAGCCTGTTGCAAGTTGATGGAATATATGCAAAAAAACTCGACAATTCAAAGTGAATATGAAATAATCCCTGCTTTGTTATTACTAAACAACAATTCACAAATGAACATGAAAAGTAAAGATTTTAATTTATAGGATAAAGTTTAAGGTCTGTTTCAATATGATGCAGCTATACAAGTATCCCAACTAGAGTTTCTCTTTGTTTGGTAATACAAATTACAAACCCAAAGCACACCAACCTACACTCAATTTTGTATCAATCTTCAGCGAGTTTCTACATAATAGAGAGTCTTCTACAAGGCATGCTTCACTTGAATCCTCTGCATTTGTTTGAACTGAGAATTCAAGTTACCTCGAGAAACAAACGGATGCATCAAGGAACTTCAGCATGCATACCTTGGATAAAAATGTGAAAAAATATATGCACCACGACAGCCCATCATTGAAATAAAAAGACACGTGAGTATATGTGAAAATATGATGTCAAAAAGAGGATAAAGTCACAATAGAAAAGCTTTCAATAATGAGAATAATGGTTTGATAAATGTATTTGATTTAACTTAACGGCATATAATGGTTCAGAGCAGACATGTTACAAAAATAAACTCCAATGGCATATAAGGGGGGAAAAAAGCTTTGAGATATTGGATGCTCTTTTATGGGTACTTCTAAAGTATTTGAGCACCTTATTCCAAATTAAATTATATGTAAGTTAAGTAAATTAGTTGGGTAAAAACAATAATATTATAGATAAAATGGGCAGAAGTTTCATTTTAGGGTTTGTTTGACATGAGGGAATTAATGAAAAGGAAGGGAGGGCAGGAAATTTTTTAATGAGTTTGATTTAAAAAATTTTAAAAATGGATTAAAAGCTTCTAATTAATTTATATTACTCTATTGTCTTACATCTTATCTTTATTAAAATTTTATAATCCCAATTCTCTAGTTTTTTAAATAGAACCCATTAAAATTTTTACTGTCATTTTTACTTCTTCATTTCTCTCGTACCAAACATAAGGTTAGGATCAAAACCAATCTCCTATAATTAAGACCAAAGAAGTATGTCGTATAAGGGAAAAAAAAACCAAAGAAGTATATTATTATGGCCAAGATATATTTTAGAGTAGCTAAGAATATGTTCCTACTAAATGCATGAGCATGAGTTGAAGCGGAATCTTGTAATCAATAGAAATAGATTTTACTGCTAAAGAGATGGAATAGAATGTCACCTGAATCATTTTCTTCACTTGAGAATTCGTCCTCTCCTATAATTAAGTTAGATATCAAGCTATTGGTTAGTTTGAGAAAAATTAACAATATCAATGGAAGGAAAGGAAACATTAGTGCCAAAAGAGGAAAAAAGTGTCACCTAAATCATTTTCTTTATTGAAAGATGTCAGCAAATATGCAGTCAATTGTGTGAGGATGTCAAGGTCCTCATCAACTGGAGAAAAGATATTCTTGAATTTATGAAGCGAATCTTGTCCCCACTCTGCTTCACTCCATTTAAGAGCTTTCCACCATTCTATTTCTCCTCTTATCACCTTTAGCTTTTTGATGACAATTCTGCAATGGAAAGACTTTGGAGTTTTGGGCAGTAGTAAAATCCCATCTGCTCTAAATTTCTCCCAATACACACTCCATTTGAAATGCTAGTTAGTTCAGGTACGAAGAGAAGTGACAATTTCCTCAATCTTGGGAGGAAAATGTTCATTGTTCGCTCTTGGAAGGATGGACAACTTATGATGCTACTTACTTTGGGACAGTCTTCAACTATAAGCTCTTCCAAGTTGGCAAGACTACGTAAGGAATCCATGGTGAATAAGGTAGTTAACTCAGGGCAAGTGTGCAATGTCAACAACTTTAGTTTATGAAAAATGAAATTGGCAAGAACTGGCCTGTAAATGATTCTCCTTAGATTTTTCATGCAGAATATAGTCAAGAATTGCAGGCAAAAAGATGCATTATGATCTGAGCCTGCTCCGTATTCGTCCTCATCTCCAATGCTTTGCATTTCATTACATTATGCCAAAATGCATAATCGTAACTTCTTCAAATTCTTCAACCCAAATTGAGCGAGATTGTTGATTTTCATATGGCGGTCCAAGAAAAATGCCCAGGATTTAGAGAGAATGAACTTTACTTCATCAGAAAAATCTTGACCATTTACAAACTTTAACCTAGGACAACTTTCTTTGAATATCACCTCAAAAGACGGCGGTACACGTGATATCATTCTTGGCTTGTGATAGCCAATAACGAGTCTAAAATTAGATAGATGCCTTTTTATGGGATTCAAGAAATTAACTCTTGGAATATATATATCCAATGCCTGCAACAATTTTAATCCATTGATTTCTGCAAGAATGTGTTCAACATTGTTGAACCACCATTCATTATCTGAGTTAATACCAATCTTTAGTACTTTCAAATGAGTGAGTTTGGATAGAACATCAAGAGGAACCACTGCAAAGCTAGAATCATCATTATAAAAAGAAAGAGATATACTTTCCAAATTGGTCAACTCTTCTATCTCTTTTGGCAAATGTGTGATCAGTGTGCCATCAAGATCAAGTGTTGTGAGATTTTTGAGTCGCTTAATCTCTGCGGGAAGTTCCAAAAAAAGCTCACAATGGTTCAGATAAAATTCTCTAAGCTCCTGTAGGTTGAAAAGTGAGCTTGGGAGTTCATGTATGCTCGTGCATGACAAGTCGAGGATGCTAAGCAGAGGCACATGATTAAAAAATGAGGATGGAATTGTCATCAAATTAAGGTCGTTGTCTCTCAACAATAAAATTCTTAGTTTGGGAAGATTTGTGAACCGGGGAAGATGTGTAATCAAAGTGTCAGAAAGATCGCACACCTCAAGATCTTGGAGTTCCCAAATTTGTGGTAGTGTCTCCAATCGCTTACACCCGGCCAACATCAATTTTTTAACATTCTCAAGTTTATTAATCTCTGGTGGCAGTTCCAGCAATTGCGAATAGTTTTCCAAAGACAAAGCTTCAAGCTTCTGGGGTTCTGCTTCTGGCAGTGTTTCAAACATACAGCCTTCCAAATTCAATTCTTTAAGTTGGGGCGGCAGGGTATTTGGAGCATATAAATTTTGTATGTGAGTGTTGGATAAGTTTGGAACTTGGAGGTTTGAAATTGCTGATGCCAATACTCCTTCACTCAAGCTCTTAGGAATGTTCCCTCCGAATGCCCGTAAGATAATTTTAATATCCTCAGGCAATAGGATATACCGACCAAGGGTGTCTTCAAATTGCAACAAGACAAAACATTCCATGAAATTTTGTAAGATACTTTTTGCTTCTTTCTTCGAGCCTATTAACTGTTGAGAAAACCAGCAAGTAAACAAATGATCATCACTTATCATCAAATCTTGGGATTCGAAGACCATTAAACACCTTACAAGACGAACCTTTTCTCTCTCAGAAGTTACATTTGCCCATATGATGTTGAAGAATGCATTCACTATTGGTTCACGATCATGATAACACAGATTTTTCAATGCAAGTTCCCAGATTTGAACATCTTTCACCCCTTTCAGTGACTTTGCCGTCAGAACAATGGCAAGAAGATGGCCACCACATTTCTCCACAATTTGCACTGCAATTCTTTGGATGGCAGTAGATGAGTGTAGAAACTCATTGCCAACATTCTTGCAGAAGAACACCCAAGGCAACAGATGATCCTCTGTCTTGATTGTCAGATCCACTTTCTCGCTCGATTCATAATTTTGCCGTGCTGATGGTAATGTTGTTATAAAAACCACGACATCTTCAGAATCCCTTTTAATTGGTAAACTCACCTTTTGGGGGTCTAATTTTTTGTCATCATCCCCATCCACCATAAGCACTAAATGTCTGCTTCGTTTGTAACTCTTTGTCGATGACTCTGTACTGGTAGTTTGGTGGTGCCATGTTGGAGGATTTGAGAGCACTAACTCTCTTTTGATCTGCTCATCAATGTGATTAAGATCAACGATTTGAAGATCATCAAATGTTGCACGTATTTGAGAATGTGCTTGTATTTTTTCCACAACAGTTCGTTTTTCTGCATCATTTCTGGCTGAAAACCATATGTTTTGAATCTTGTCATCTGAAGTTAAACTGTGGTTCAGTTGATGGACAGCAAGATCAGTAGCTAAGAGGAGAATAGGGTGGGGAACATGTTTGAGGGGTGTCTCCTTGCTGACGCTACCACCACTTATGATCTCTTCTGTTATCCCCCGTGGTATAAGTACCTGTACATATCTCAGTGGGCTTGCCTAAAGAAGATGTTGAACACTTCTCCTCAAACTATCAAAACTAAGCAGTTCCATCTCCAGTGAATTATAGACATCATTGATCCATTGCCGCAGAAGGTGTTCATACCCAATTCTCATGGGGTAGCTCAAGATGAGGTGTATAAAGTTCCATATTTTCATCAACCTTGACACATCTTTCCCAAGATGCTGTTGAGGGAAAACAAAAAAAAAACAAAAAAAGATTCTTCAAGGAAGATATCATCAACAACAATGACAACAAAAACATTTTAATTAAGAGTGAAGAACATGGTAATTTCCCTCATTTTTTTTCTTTTAGCTATAAACTTGCTTTTGTTTAAAAACTATTTAGGAGTGTTTAGATGGAAACCAAACCATGATTTTAAAAATAATTTTACTGATATACAAAGTAAATATGTGAAAAAATATGTTTCGATTTACGGAAAAATACTCTTAAAAAGCATTTATGGGGATATCCAAACACCCCCCAGTCTGGGTTTAGAAGCAAAGCAACCAGAGCTCAAAAAGTGCATGAAGTGGGGGAACAGTGCAGCTTAAGAAGCTCACATCATATATCTGTCAGATTGGTTGAGATTTCTCTCATTCCCAATTCTTATTACTCTCATGGGGACAAACCTTTTATAATATATCCTCGTCAAACTTACACTTTCGTTCATTCTTCGAAGAATGGCATGCAGCTCAGCCGACTCAGACATTCTTCGTGCTGGTTGCGAGGCTTTCAAAGTTCAAAGAATAATGCGTTATATAAGAGATAACTGAAATTTTGACATTGAAACGAACAATATTATTACATTGAAAGTTTCATCCTACAACACAAAAGCATACATGTTACAGATCAAACAGGTTTTCAAATTAGAGGACTTCTTTGGAACAAAATCCGTACTTATGACCCCCAAAATCTATCAAAATTCATCCTACAATACAAAAGCTGTAACCTTTTGACAAGGAAATGAAGATTTTTTGAGAGATTTGTTTTCTGACAGAGAGAGAGAAGCAGAATAGGACTATCATCAAGGAAACTAACTGAATATCCCCCAAGAAAAACACACTTGTTTATTTTATTTTTTCAGGAGGGAAAAGCTCATGATGCCTTTTCTCCTTCTTTTTGTTTTTTGGGCCAAAAACAATTAAATTTTCTACTAGATGAATTCTTCAAACTTTGCAGGTAGTTTGTAAGGTAAAACTTCTTGAAGTTTCGGAAAATTCTGTGAATTTTGAAAAAGGATTGTGACAAATACATAGGATAAATCATCAATTTCATAATTTCACTCAGAGGAGGGCTAGTCAATCAATGATAAAATGAAAAAGATAAAACCGCTGGCTAAATTTTAGATTATACAATTTGATTTTGAAATTTGAGAGGACTAACAGAACATCGCAGAATGACAAAAATTTTGCATTTCATTCTCACAGGATAAGCCTACATAATATATCATTGTCAAACTTACCACGTATCTATTACGATAGACACGCTGCTCAGCTGACCCAGACATCATTGGTCGTGCCCATAGCCGCCGGGACAACTTTCAAAATCCAAAGAGAATAATGTGTTACTAAAAAAAAAGAAAAAAAGATTTTGTTATTAAAACGAACAACAACAAAAATCTAACTTTTTATTTGTTTATTTATATTCTTTTTAGCTTTGCCAACCGCCATTCACAAACAAACACAAGGGTTTTTTTATCTTGAAATTAGATATTTCAATTAACTTTCATATAGCTTTCAACCTGGAGAGCTTGATTTATGTATATGATATTTTTTTTTTGTTTAACTTAAATGCTCACCTCTTCTATTTTGAAAATATACATTTAGTCAAATATATTAACATAGTAAAAAAAAAAAATTCAGTGTGATACATATAGCTCACCTGTTGGTGCGGCAAGTAACAAAATTAAAAAAATTCATAAAAAACTCTAAAATATTGCTTTTTAATTAAAAGTTATATTAAAATAAATTATGTTTATTAATTTACCCTCACTATGCTAAAGGCTTAATTTATTTGTATCCATTGTTGGTTTTACAATTCCCAGCCAAGAACTTGCAACAAAATTATAAAATAATCAACTTTATAATGATCATTAATTATATTTATGTTAAATAGGATTATTTTGGTCCGATAAAAAGTCTAATAAAATTATTAAGGGCTAACTAACTAATGGTTAGGTGGCTGACCAAAAAACAAAAAACTAATGGTTAGGTGAATGGAAGTGGAATCTTTAAAATAGATATGAGGTCTATGTAATTTAACTTTTAATTATAAAGAAGCAACATGGTTTCATGGTTTCGTTCTAATGGAAGAGGTTAATTTAAATACAAGGTTTGAAGCACTTATTAATTTGATTAAAACAAAGACGTTAAATATATATAAGCTAAGGTTTCTAAATTGTTTTTAATAATCTTAATTTCCTTATTAACCTGGAACCTTCTGACGAGGAAACAAATTGAATATCCACACAAAAACAATTCACACTTGTTTATTTTATTTTTCAAAGGGAAACCACATGATTCTTTTTCTCCTTTCTTTCTAATATATTAAAACATTAAAATTAATTTTTATTTAATTAAGTTTTATATTTGCAATAAACAGTATTCTTAATTTTTTGGCCAACAGTATTCTTAGATCTATACCATATATAATATGCGATACAGACGGACTGAGTGTGTCATCACTCTTAAGGGAACAATTGGAATTTTATGTTGTTAGATCAATTCTCCAAAATTTTCAGGTAATTTGTAAGGTAAAAGTTCTTCAACGTGTGAAAAATTCACTTGTAAAATTTGAAAAAGGCTTGTGAAAAATGCATAGGATGAGTTAGTTGTGAATTTGACAATTTTACACATATTATTGAAGGAGGTAGGAGGACTTGTAAATCATCATAAAATGAAAAAAAAATTGAGGAACCCATATGAAAAACGCCAGTGGCTAAATTGTACTTTTCATAGTTTGATTCACAAATTTGAGAGGATTTATAACACAGTGCAAAATGATAAATATTTTGCACTTGGTTTTTAGGTAAAAAAATAGTGGGAAAGTTGTGAAACTAAAAAATAACTTATAAAAATGGGAGGAAAATCCGTAAACAGGCATAGAAAATTTAAAGACGCATACAAACTACATGGGTCGCACTTTTAAATCTTACGGGTTTGCATGCATATTGTTCAAGAGAACTTGTATATAATACTACTTCTAGTTTTTAATATCAAAGCTAGATAACTAATATGAAAATATTAATAACATCAGTTAAATTAGTTCTTTGGAAGAAATATATAATCAAGAAGACGTTGCTTCTTGGAATAGTTTGTTACTCACCGAACTGCCACTAGGGCTGTCGGACTTGGATGAAGTCGTCCCTCCTGATTGCGGGGCCTTTCAAAAATCAAAGCATAATGCATTAAGAAGATATCAAAATGTAATTAACATACATGATCGCACCTGCGGCTAGTTTTTACCAATCTTTATACTACCGTCAGTTCCTAATATAAGAGCTAATTTGACATTTAATCTGGTCTTAAATACAAGACTCCAATCCATTTCGTATCATATTTATCTATTTTTTCTCAAGGTATAGTTCTTGTAGTAGTTGCACATGTTAAAAGTTTCATTGAATGATAGTTCTAACTAATACACATGATTAGTAAGGGTATTTAGGAATGACAATACCTATTTATTACAAATAACTATTTTATTTAATTAAGTTTTATAATTGCAATAAATCGTATTCTTTATTTTTTGGCCAACGGTATTCTTAGATCTATAGCATATATAATATGCCATACAGACGAAATGGGTGTGTCATCGCTCTTAAGGGAACAACTGGAATTTTATGTTGTTAGATCAATTCTCCAAAATTTTCAGGTAATTTGTAAGGTAAAAGTTCTTCAACCTGTGAAAAATTCACTTGTAAAATTTGAAAAAGGCTTGTGAAAAATACATAGGATGAGTTGTGAATTTGACAATTTTACACATATTATTGAAGGAGATATGAGGACTTGTAAATCATCATAAAATGAAGAAAAAAAATTGAGGGACCCATATGAAAAACGCCAGTGGCTAATTTGTACTTTTCATAGTTTGATTCACAAATTTGAGAGGACTTACAACACATTTCAAAATCATAAATAATTTGCACTTCATTTTTAGGTAAAAAATAGTGGGAAAAATGGGAAGAAAATTCGTAAACAGGCATAGAAAATTTAAAGAACATGCACGCAAACCACATGGGTTGCACTTTTAAATCTCACGGGTTTACATGCGTATTGCTCAAGAGAACTTGTATATAATATGACTTCTAGTTTTTAATATAAGAGTCAGATAACTAATATGAGAATATTAATGAAATCAGTTAAATTCGTTGTTGGTAAGAAATATATAATATGGGGAAAAATTTTAATTTGGAAGATAAAAATAAACTGAAAGCTTATATTTATGATCAAATATAGCCAGCCCCCAATTATCTCTTATATTAATGACTGCAAGTTGTAAAATTTAAAATTTTTTATAACTGCCAATTATAATAATGGTCCAGGTCAATAGCGGTCAAATGATCAAAGGTGGACATTTTGGTCATTTCCCGTATATAGAAATGATTGTCAAGAAATCAAGGACTTGTTTGGTTCCATTATCTGTTATATGTTCTTAAAATATGTTTGAATTTTTTGTTTGAAAAACATACTACCACTGCTCCTTAATATAAGATTTAGTTTGATTTTTAATTTGGTCTTAAACGTAAAACCTTAATCAACTTTCTTTCTCATATTTATTCTTTTTTTTCCTCAAAAGTAGTCTCTATAGTAATGATAGTTCTAACCAATAAACTTGATTAGTAAGGGTATTTTAAGAAAGGCAATATCTATTTATTAATTTTTTAATTTACTCAAATTAGTCAACTAGTTCTTATGTTAAGGACTTATGTTAAGAACCAGAGGTAATATTTCAGGGTGAAAAATATTTACTTTAATAGCGTGATTGTTATTAATACAAGTGCAATGTTCTTTGCCTCTTTTCTAATTTTGTTGAAGAGAAACAAAACATAAAAAAATGTTATGATTTGTTGCTGTTGTTTCTTAGAACAAATTTTAACTGTTTTGTTTCTCAGAACATATAGCCGAAAACGCATCTTTAAATATTTTTTTATTGTTTTATTTTTCAAAACCAACAACTGTTTTGAAGGAAACCGCACAAACCTTATATTTTGAGATGATAATAGCATGAATATAATCAAGAAGACGTTGCTTGTTGGAATAGTTAGTTACTCACCGAACTGCCACTAGAGCTGTTGGACTTGGATGAAGTCGTCCCTCCTGATTCCGGGGCCTTTCAAAAATCAAAGCATAATGCATCAAGAAGATATCAAAATGTAATTAACATACATAATCACACCTGTGGCTAGTTTTTTATATAAGAATTAGTTTGACATTCAATTTAGTCTTAAATATAAAACTCCAATCCACTTTATCTCTTATATTATTTATTTTTTCCCCAAGGTATAGTCCTTGTAGTAGTTATATGTGTTAAAATTTTATTAAATGGTAGTTCTAGCTAATACACATGATTAATAAGGGTATTTAGGAAAAACAACACCAATTTACAAATAACTAATTTTTCTAATATATTTACATTAGTTAATTAGCTCTTATATCAAGTACCGGAGATAGTAAATTATTCACATGTCATCAGCGCATGCATGGCTTTGTTCCTTAGCTGAATTCC